ACCTCCAACTCAATCACAATCACAATCACAATCTCAGTCTTCTTACTCTATCACTATCACTCACTCCCTCACTGACTGTCTAACTCTGGGTATTTAACGACAGCAGTCCAAGTAACACTGGTAGAGTCCACTTATATGAAAAAGAGGAGGACCCCATAGAACTAAAAAACTTCTAATTTTTTCTCGATTGTGGTAATAATAATTTACGGGTATAATCTTTAACAGAAAATTAGTTCTCAACTTTGCATCTATGCTGGCAACACAACCATTTATTCTTGCGAAAATTGGCAGCTGATTTTAAAAAATCACCTACAGTCTGTTGCTAACAGGGACAAGGAATGGCGTGTTAATTTTAAAGCTTCCAAAACGAAACTCCTCTCTATCAATCACCTGAAGACTCCTTCCTGCCTCACATCAACATGGCTGATACTAACCTTCAAGAGTGTGACTCGTTTTGCCTCATCGTGCTTACATTCTCAACTGACGTGAAGTGGAAATATTATATCGAATCCTTTTTTATGTCTGCTGCTAGGAAATTTGATTCACAGTGTCATGCTTTTTTTTTTCTCGCCTGAATCTATCTTACATATTTTTAAGTTTACCATTCGTCCATGTTTTTAATGTATTGTGGTGTCTTCCCTCTATTGAAGATATTGTGGACTCTTCCACTTACTATAAAGTTAGTAGGAAAAAATAAACCCCCAGGGGGGGGCACAGTGATATAGATTGAACGCTGGTCAACCGACTCACACTACCAAGTCGTGTAATACTCTTCTGTTCAATAAACACTTTATCTGCAAACTCTTGTTTTGTTATTCCTTAACCGATTACTTGGTCACAACATAATCTTACAGCTACATATGGTCTGGTGATTTTGCTGTATATCTAGCGATCCTTGATAAAATACAAAGACGAATCAGCAATATTATTGGTTCTGAGCTGGCATTTCGGCTTCAGTCACTTTCTCTGAACCGTAACGTACCTTCGCAATTGCCTTTTCTAGAAAAATACTTTCATGGTATGTGTTTAGACGAGCTCTTCGCTATGGAACCTAGACTTTATGAATTTAAGCGCAGTACTAGATTAGCAACAAGGTTTTGTCATTTTACAGATGTAACCGTAAGTTCTATGATAACATTTTCTTTTCTCCCACTTCTCACTCGTGGGAGTCTCTTCAGTCTCCATGCCATCCACCTTTGATCTTCAAGCATTCAAATGCAATGTCAATCGTTATCTACTCTCTCCTTGATTACTCTTCTATTGTTCTCGCTTCTTAATAAGGTTTCTCTTTTTTCTTATTCTTTCACACTCAGTAAGTGTTGTGGCTTTACTGCCTTGAATGGAGCGATATAATTTTAAAATAAATGATAAGTTCATTTCATGGGAAAATATTCAAAGCAAGATTTGAACTCCTTAATCAAGTTCCTCGTTGCTGGAGACCTTAATGTTTACGTTGAAGCCATGCATTTCTTGTGTTTTACCTTTGGCCATCTATTTTGTTTTTTAAATTTGCTAAGCAATTCAATCAAACGTAAACAGGGCCTTCGTTTGTCTGGTTTAATGTTAAAATAACGACTTTCAAGGAAGCATCTGAATAATTGACTTAGAAGAATTGCAAGACTAAAAAAGAAAAAAAATGGATAGTTGTATGAACAGAAAAAGAAAAAAACTCGAGCGAAAAGCTAATAAGATTCGAACTACTTGATCGATTAGACAAAAAAGATTATTACCTGATTTAGTTTCCTGGTAAAAAGCCTTTGTTTAAGAGATTTATGCTTGAAAAAAAAAAGTATGCACAGATTAATTTCGATACGAGTAGATTCATCAATTTTTTCTCTTTCTTATAAGGAAAGAAAATCGTATAGGATTTAAAAAAAAAAAAGTTATCTTCTTTTACATTACTGTACATTTTGTGTTGAATGTGTTATGGTTATTAGATTATAACATAACATTCCTGAAGCCAATATACAAACAGTTACTATTCGCCATTTATTCACGTTATTTGACCTTACTTCATTAGGTGCTGCATAATGATTCACAAACATGCACACACACACACACACACACACACACACACACACATATATATATATATATATATATATATATATATATATATAGAGAGAGAGAGAGAGAGAGAGAAAGATGTTATCTGGTTATATATAGAGTGAAATAGATAGATAGATAGATAGATATAAGCATGTTGAGGTAGATGCAGAGTTTTGAGTCGACTGATATATAATTTTTTTGCATTGTACGAATATTTTTTTACCTATTAAAATGGATAAATGATATCAATTTCCATGAAATCATTTTCCTGTTTTCTATGCATATTTAATTATTATGAGTGTGTTTACATTTAATTATGTGAAAAGTATATTTATTCATTAGTTGTCAATAAAATAAATAAAAACTTTGTATGTTCACAAATATTTGTTCCCCCCCACTGTATATATATATATATATATATATATATATATATGAATTATAATTAAAATTAACTCAAATCCTCCTAATAATATTTTCACACACACACACACACACACACACACACACACACACACACACACATATATATATATATATATATATGTGTGTGTGTGTGTGAAAAATGTGAAAAATGAATAATAATATAAGTAAAATATCCACATTATAACCAAAAACGTTTGCGGCTTCTTTTTCTCTTTATATATATATATATATATATATATATATATTGTACTAATAATTATACTAGGCTGGTGAAAAAACTTGGATGGCACAATTTGCAAGTTTATCAAAATACATTGGTATCCGAGAAAAAATTGGAAGAAAAGAAAGAACTGAAAACATTGGAACAAAATGAAAAAAATCGTTCAGTGTCTTAAATTTCCAGGCCCAAAAAATCCAAAACGAGTAACTAAGATAAAACGTAGAGTGCTCACTACGCTAAGTAGAGCAAACGATAAAATAATCCTCTCTCTGTCTCTGTCTGTCTGTCTATCTGTTTGTCTGTCTGTCTGTCTGTCTGTCTCTCTCTCTCTCTATATATATATATATATATATATATATATATATATATACATATTAGGACCTTGAATAAGTTCTCGCTGTTTTCAAACAGTTTACGTTCCCCAGAACTGCGCGCGTTTAGTTTCAGATGGTAATAAGGTAGTACTATAAGAAAACTTGAAATTCAGTCTATGTCATTTCGCCGAAGTGTAAACAACTTTGTTTTTCATAACGTTAAACATGTCGGATTTTGTGCCAAAGAAGGTGTATTTGCGAGGAATTTTACTGAACTACTTTATATAAAAGATAATGAACACTATGGTGCACCGAAAAAGTTTGAAGTCGAAGAATTTGAGAAATTACTTCAAGCTGAACTTGCAGAATCATTACAAGTTGATCGCACAACAGTTTCAAAAGGTTTAAAAGCATTAGGAATGATTCAAAAGCAAGGACATTGGATGCCGTACGAATTGAAGCCGAGAAACATCGAATGGCGTCTTGTTACGAGTGAACAACTGCTTCAACGGCAGAAAAGGAAATGTTTTTTGTATCGTTTCGTGACTGGAGATAAAAAGTGGATCGACTACGAAAACTCTAAGCGTAGAAGATCGTGGGGTAAGTCCGGCCATGCATCAACATCGGCGGCAAAGCCGAATATCCATGGTTCGAAATTTCTGCTCTGTATTTGGTGGAATCAGCTGGGTGTAGTTTATTATGAGCTGCTCAAACCGACCGAAACCATCACGGGAGATCGATATCGACTACAATCGATGCGTTTGAGCCGAGCATTTAAGAAAAAAAACAATCGCTATACTAACAGAGACACGACAAAGTGATTTTGCAACAAGACAACGCTAGATCCACATATTGCAAAACGGCTGAAAACGCTTAAATGGAAAGTCGTACCCGACCCGGCGTATTCACCATACATTGTCCTGTCCGATTATCACTTGTTCCGATCGATGGCACATGGCCTGGATGAACAGCACTTTCACTCTTATGAAGTTGCCAAAAAATGGGTAGACTTGTGTTTAACCTCAAAAACGTGTCGTTTTCCCGACGTAGAATTCAAATGCTGCCAGAAAGATGGGAAAACGTAGGGGTTAGCGACGAACATTTTTTTCAGTGACATGTTGCTTACTAATTTATGTAAATAAAACATTACATTTCATAAAAAATCGACGAGAAGTTATTCAAGGACGTAATATATATTGAGAGATAGATAAATTGATAGACCATTCTTTTTGTTTTGACTGCTACGCCACTTCTTCCCTTTAAAGAGTTAGTCAATTTCTGTATTGTCATAAACAAATACTTTTGAGGTATTGTGAAAAAATTCATAATCTTGGATTTTCAGTCATTGTTTTTTTCTTTTTCTTGGAAGTCCTGAATGCGTAAAAAAGTATGCGTCTGAGTCAAGAAGCCGAGTTCCAAGTCCGGCTGAGTTCCAAGACCGGTCGAGTTCCAAGTCTGGTCGAGTTCCATGTCTGATCGAGTTCCAAGACTGGTCGAGTTCCAGGTCCGGTCGAGTTCCAAGTCCGGTCGAGTTCCAAGACCGATTGAGTTCAAAGACCGATCGAGTTCCATGTCTGATCGAGTTCCAAGTCCGGTCGAGTTCCACGTCCTGTCGAGTTTCAAGACCGGTCGAGTTCCAAGTCTGGTCGAGTTCCAAGACTGGTCGAGTTCCATATTCGGCCGAGTTCCAAGTCCGGTCGAGTTCCAAGTCCGATCGAGTTCAAAGACCGATCGAGTTCCATGTCTGATCGAGTTCCAAGACTAGTCGAGTTCCAGGTCCGGTCGAGTTCCATGTCCGGCCGAGTTCCAAGTCCGGTCGAGTTCCATGTTCTAGTTCCAAGTCCGGTCGAGTTCCAAGACCGATCGAGTTCAAAGACCGATCGAGTTCCATGACCGATCGAGTTCTAAGTCCGGTCGAGTTCCATGTCCGGCCGAGTTCCAAGTCCGGTCGATTCCATGTCTGGCCGAGTTCCAAGTCCGATCAGTTCCACGTC